TAACGTTAACGAGTCACACCTTTAACTCTATGGCTCTATGGGCGTCGCGCCCCCACCTTTAAGCGGCAGGGTTCCAGCAGGAAAAGCTGGAGCGGACAGACGTGGACAGGTTAGCGCGCAAAAGTAACAAGTGGAACGAGAGTGGTCGAAACAGAACGAGGGCAAGACAGACAGACTTACGAGGCGAGACAGTTTGCCCCGTACACTGGTTGAAAACCACTGCCTGTGATCACTTGCCTGTACGTCGACTGGAGCGCACCGTTAAGTTGAAAAGTTGAAAAGTTTTGTGTGTCTGAAACGCATGTGATACGTTACAGTTTACACAGCACGATTACATGTGTCTGCTAGCACTGGTTAGACACTATGCACTAAATGCTACACGTTTGAATACGTTATGCACATATGCAACTTGTTTGTTGAATGCTTAATCAATGGGAGCTTCCTCAAACAGCCTCTCTTTCACCGACAATCGCCCCTCTGTGCACAACCCTGTTACATCATGGTAATTAAACTTAAAACAGCCTGCGCTTTAGTCCAGTGCCGGCTTATTATGTACACATCATTCATTTAGCTGCTGCGGGCTTATATTCAGGTGCGGACTTAATAGTCCGAAAATTACCGGTTAAATGCAATTATTCATTGACTTTGAAAACATCCATTTATTGGAGAAAAACAATTTGAACAGTATGTTTAACAGTTCGGATTACCCTGAACTTTAAGTATAATTCAACTGAAAAAAAAAAAAAAAAAGATTTAAAAAAGAAAGAAAAAAGCTATAATAATAAATAAAAAAATAATCGTTTTATTTCGATTACGTTTTTTTCGGAATCGTTGCAAGCCATAATCGTAATCGCGATTAAAATACGATTAAAATACGATTCATTGAACAGCCCTAATATAAATGTGAGATGTGCAGTGAGGGGGTTTGCAGCTACCTTCATCTCCTCCAGGTTGGCAGGCAGGACTCCCGGCTTGCGGTTGGAGAGCGAGTTGTTTGGACGGAGAGCAGACGGGGCGTCGGAGGAAGATGGAGGACCTAGAGACACCATGATGGAGCTCTGACCCTCTGCCACAGGCCTGCAGGGACAAACACACAGAAAACATGGAGGTCAGTGTCGTATCAGGAAATCATTTACACTACCCCCGCATCACGTGAAGGAGAAGAGAGGGGAAGAAGAGGTGGGAGAGAGAGGGAAGGGGGACAAAGGAGTACTATAGGAGAGATTGCTGAAGGGGAATGAAAGACAGGAAGAAGGGGAAGTGTGTTTTTCAATATGAACAAACCATCCATCCTGTGCCTCACTAACAAAGCTGTCAACCAACCACAGTTCACAGTGTGTTGAATGGAGCATATGTATGGGAACAGCAGCTGGTGAAACAACACCCTGTTAATACCATTACACGCAGAGTTGTTATTGGAAACTATCCAAAGGCTCTCGGGGTCATTGAAAACATCAATGTTGGACTTGCAGGTGTTTTTAGATAAAGGGCAATGGAGGTAAGCAAACAAGAAATAAACAAGTATTTATATGGAAGCCCTGAGAGGCAAGTGATTATTTTCTCTGGTGAAGCATTTTCTGAGTCTGATTTTTGAACTAGAATAGAATTGGGAGGGATGAAATATATATATACATATACATATATACCGTAATTTTCGGACTATAAGCCGCACTGGACTATAAACCGCAGGTGTTTTAATGTTTGATTACCATAAGGGTTCGTGCACAGAGGGGATTGTCGGGAAAGAGATGGCTGTTTGAGGAAGCTCCCATTTATTAACATTTCAACAAACAATTTGCATATTTGCATAACGTATTCAAGTGTTACCATTTAGTGCAATAGTAGCTACAGAACATGTACTGTGCTGTGTAAACTGTACTGTATCACATAGCGTTTCAGACACACAAACTTTTCAACTTTCAAACTTAAACGGTGCGCTCCCAGCGCACGTACCGGCAGTGATCTACAGCAGTGGTTTTCAACCAGTGGTACGGGGACAAACTGTCTTGCTCTCGTTTTGTCTCTCGTACCACTCTCGGTTCCACTTTTACTTTTGCGCGCTACCTGTCTCACTCTTTTCCGGCCTCCAGCTTTTCCTGCTGGAGCCCGCCGCTTAAAGGTGGACCGGCCATAGAGCCCATAGAGTTAAAGGTGGTGGCCGTGAGCTGTAAAAATCCATAGATTAGCCGCACCGTTATATAAGCCGCAGCGTCGAAAAATGGGAAAAAAGGTGCGGTTTATGGCAGGCATTTCCCCTCGGTTCTATTGGCTCTAACGGTTAAAAAAGATGTGTCAAATCATCAAAATCGACCAATGGGTTCCAGAGATATGGCAAATCCACCCAAATGACCCCAGAAGTGGGTTTTTTCTAAATCTCTCTAAAAAGGTCAAATGTCACTTGTTTTGCATCAATCTTGATACAGGGTACTTAGTATATGTTATACTTTGGATTGCTAAAGCTTTCAGTCTACTAACCCATCATCCAAGGGTGGTTTTCACTATAAGTCATGTTGTTTTTTTGGACGGACACTATAATTACATTTTTTTACTATGTTCAATC